ACTAGTTAATATAGATTTTGACTCCCAAAAATTATGAGAAAATTCTAATATGCAATTCAATATGTAATTAATCTACTGTAAAAATTTCAGTTCAAAATTCATCCGTTTGATAAGATTTCTTGATTTTTAAAGTTTGTGATTTTAGGATCAAGAATTTCCATCTACCATTGTAACCCAAAACTTCCCATCACCAACCCCTAGATTCACACCACCGTTGTAACAACCCAGATTTTTAATTACTCTGTAAAATTTATACTAATATTATTTAATCACAATTAGGAAAATATACGATTTATTTTGTATTATTATGTGTAATTTTGTAAAATAATATAATTATTAAAATTTAGGGGTCAAAGTATAAATAAAGTAAGAGTAACTAAATAATAATATTGATAACAACAATAACAACAACAACAACAACAACAACAACAATAATAATAATAATAATAATGGGTATGGTAGTAAAATGAATAATTAATTTTCTGTTGATATATGATAAAGTGTAATTTAATTAGGAATTAATTATTTATATAATTATATTAAAAAATTGAGTTAAAGTGTAATTATTTTAAATATCTATTAAAGATAAGAATGAATCTTTATAATTTATTATCGAATCTGTTCGAAGATTCGGGCCACGTATGCGCTTATCTCCCTATAAATAAGGAGGTGATTCACCTGGGCGGAGAAAAGGAAAAGAAAGAAAGAAAGAAGAAAGAAAGGAAAAGAAGGGAGAAAGAAAGGGAAATGAGAGAAATGAGAGAAATGAATGGAAGGAAAGGAAGAAAAAAAAAATAATGAAAGTTGTAAGGATCTTTGATAGTGAAAAGAAAGCGTAAGGTATTAAAATTAATGTGAGTTATATTATTCCTTGAGCTACCATAATATATTTTACGTATGTTTTGACTTACCATATGTATGTTATATAAGTTATGTTTTATAAATTATTATAAGTTATATTACTATTTCAGTTATGTGGATTAATTTCTGAACTATATTTGCTAAAATGAAATCTATGGATATGTTTGTTTATATTTTAAAGAATATTTGACTATAATCTTATAAACAATTATGTTTTGTAAGTACCACCACGGGAGTCCCTTGCCTTGGGGGACTTAAATAACCATTGGCCTCTGTTTGACCACTTTGTGGTCCTCTGTTTGTCATGGATCAATTGACCTCTGTTCTATACGGAGCAAAGTGCTGTGCGGAGATAAGTGTTACACTATTGTGGGTGCCAGCTCTATAATCCGTACGAGCCACCTCTTGAATCCGTACCTCTATTCTGACTGTCACTTTTGTGATCTCTGTTCTGTTCTGTTTTGTACCGTGGTTATGGTTATATATTTACATAATTTCTGTATTTTAATTTCTACCACTTAAATGATTTATTTACCGAACTGAGTTATGGAAATTTTTTGACCTAACTAACTATCCATGGTTATTTCGTGTCCCTTATACTCTTAGTATAATATTTCTCACTCTGCCATGTACTTATAGCTGTTTATCAATTTTCACGAAATAATGCAATTCAGAAATAGTTTTTGGAAAGTCTTAGATGCGGGGCTACGGAATAGACACACACAGCACTTTTATGATATTTTTATATGTAAATATCGGCTCTTTTAGTCAATAAATTTTATAATAAAAATAGAAGCTCCAATAATTATTTTGGTACCCTCACTTAAATATTACTTCCGCTCGCGTTTATTATTTTGTTTAAGAATTGGACGGAGGTAACCTCAGTTACTGGCCATCACGATACTTAACGCTTGGCTACGAGGAGCAAGTCGTGACAACCGTCCACCATCCACACAAAACAATGACTTCGGCAACTCAATGATTACCATAGTTTTAATTAAAAAAAAACAACATACATGCTTATATATAAAAACTAGCGATAACCCGTGCTATGCACGGGCAAGTAACAAAAAATGGTAAATAATGTTGAACATGCTAAAAATTAACAATTAAATACTATGATGTTAATTTAGATGGGTATTGAAATAATATATTTAGTGATCTTACTATATTTAATTAAATAAATTTTAGAAGAAAAAAAAGTTTAATTGAAAATTAAGAGTAAGAGTGGATTCTGTAAATATAAGATATAGATAAAAACAAATTAAGTTTAAATTTGAAGATAAACTATAAATATATATATATATATATATAAAAGAAAATTAGATAAATCCTAGAAAAATGAGGTAGAGAGAAATTCAGTAATTGAAAAAAAAAAAAGTTGAAATTTAAAATTAAAAAATAAGATAAGACAAACTTGAAAAGAAAAATAAAATCTAATATAACTCTAACAACAGAAGAACTGGAGAGGGTAATAATTAAAAAATTAGATAAGAGTGAAATGCCACTTATAATTTTTTAAAATTTAAATTTTGTGTAGTTAAAAAATAAGCAATTATGTTATCTTATTATACAAATTTTAACTCTATTTTGTGTCTACTACCTATAATTTAATCAAATTTTGTCTTCTAAAGCTACTTAATTGAAATAAGAAAGAATAAAAAATTATAAGAATATAGAAAGTGAAAATCAGATAAAAAATGAATAAACTTAATTGAAAATTAAAAGCAAGAATCGATCTTGTAAATATAAGATAAAAATTATAAAAAAAAATCAAATGTAAATTTGAAGATAAATTTACGAATATAGAAAGAGAAACTTAGATAAATTGCAAAAGTAAAAGAGAGTGAAAAAAATACAATATGAGATTTAAAACATGTGCTTTTTTTCACATAAGATGCCAAAAAATCTTGCATAATTGGTTAAATCACCCGTTTAATTTCTCTACAACGTTATTTTTCTTCTCCAATCTTTTTGCCTAATTTCATATTGTCATAGAAGTTAGGTTTTGAGATTTATAAATTTATTTATTTATTTATTTCAAATATCCTTGGGTAAGACATAAATTGATGAAGAAATTTGAATTAGAGTCAAACTCATCTTTTATCTTTAAATATTTTGAAATTTTTTTATATCCATGTCATAAGTAATCAAAAATATATAAAAAAAAAAGATAAGAAAAAATAGGAAAATAGAATGAGAGAAGAATGGATATGCCACGTAAGAAAGAGGTTCATGAGATATTAGGATTGAGAGTTTGAAATTTTTTAAGAAACCACTACATTTGCTTATATATATAGTATAGATATTTACCTGTACAACAACTCCTTTTTCCTTCTTTAATTTCCTTCACAAAAGACACCCTCCTCTCTCTTTTCTATCTCTTGCTCTCTCTTCCTCTCTCACGTTGCTACTTCTGCTCCTGCTATATATTGTAATAGGCAACCTAGGGTTCCTATATATATATATATATATATATCTAAACAAAAGACTCTAAATTATTATCTTTTGTTTTATTTTATTTTCTCTCTCCATTAATTTAAATAAAATACAACTATTACTATATCAAAATATACTGACTAATTTGTCCCCTATTTTTTTTTTAATAATAAAACTTACCTCTAAATTAAATACTTTCACCATAAATTTATTTTAGGTTTAAAATTAATTAAAAGATTGTTCAGTAATATTTAATTTGCACCTTAAGATTTACAAATAAAATATTAGAGGTTTGTGAAATAATTATTATTTAATTATTTATTTTATTTGTATATTCGGATTCTCACAATCAAGTTTAGAGCAACCTCAGGAGTCCACCATTCTGCAAAGCTGCTTTGAAGTGCCTCCGTGATGAAGCGTGCTTGGACACAAGAGGAGCCAAGCTGGGTCTACCCTTTTGTTTTGTTTTCTTTTGTTATTTGGAAACTTGTTATGTGTAGATCTTTTATATATGTATCTAAGATGTTATAATATATCTGTGTTTATATCTATGTAAGAAGGCTAAAGTTTTAATTACTTGTGAATCTTGCATGTGTGCACCGCTCGATGGACATAGTTATGTTTTAATATTGCTTCCACGGTGCCTCATTTACTATTATTAATTGTCTGTTTTGTCTTTGAGGCCGAGTAATCGAGAATTATTGGCCGGTCATGGCCTAAACCTTTAGGAACGGGTTTGGGCTGTGACAGACATCAGGCTAGAAGGTGATATCCAAGCTATTTAGAATAGGGTCCTGCTACGTTTCATGAATACTGTCATGAAAATTGTCATGAAAACCATTTACACCGTTGGATCATGAGACACATACCTGATCTAACGGTGCAGATGGTTTTCATGACAGTTTTCATGAAAATTCTTCATGACACCTAGCATTTCCCTTTAGAATATATTTCATTCACTTTTCTCTTTACAAAAAAAATTTGAAAAATTTGATCAGATTGCATATTCCTTATTAACACAAAGCTTTGAGTTAAGTAGAAAAACTGTACACAAAATGATGGGATTGAATCAGGGGCGGCTGTGCTGTGAGAGATGTTTCACTTATTGAAAAAGCTATAAACTGAGAAAAAATGTCCAAATAATAAAGTGTATGATGTAAATTTAAATTTTATGTAATGTGGGTTACACTTAAATGGAATCTATTCTATGCTTTTGCACATTTTTTCTAAATAGCTAACATTAGTGTTGGCTTCTTGGCCAAGTCTTGGTAAGTTTACTTTCCAAAAAATAAAATAAATAAAAAGATGTCTCATTTTCAGGCAATTGGCAATTTAAAAAACAGTCTATGCACCCAAAAAAGTAATAAAAAATTTACCAGAATTTCAAATTTGAAGTGTATATTTAAACTTCTTGTTGTGGGACTACACCATAAATTAATCTTGGCCTTTGATTACAAATTTTGAATAATATTTTTTTCCCCTAAGTTTGTAGAACTGTTGGAAAAGAAAAACCCTAGGTTGGGGAATGCAATATAATTCAAGTTCCACTTTTTTTTTTTTGATCAGCAAAGAAAAATTTCATTAAACAATATAAAATTAAAAGTACAGGAAGATGACATGCATTGAGAGAAATTCAGAAGTATAAAAATACCCCTACTACTCCTACTCGCATCCATACAACCAACCCCTAAGCCTCTCGATTTTTTTTTTTTTTTAACCAAAAGAGCTAAGAAGAACTTAACTAGAGAACTTAAAATACAAGAATCCCCACATACTCAACCCACCAAAAACACCCAAAACTAACTAAATGAACTAACCCATCACCCAAAATAAGCTAACAACACTAAACCACTCTTCTGCAGCTACAACTCCCAACACGCCTCTGCTGTGTGACCTGACCCAGCACGCCTCTGCTGCAAGAAACAATACACGCCTCTGCACTTCAGCCACCCACTCGTAGCTGCTGACCACGCCACCTCTAGGCACACCTCTGCCGAGGAGACACCATAGCCACCGCTGGGAAATCTATAGTATACACTGGAAAATTGATGAAAATGTTATTAATGCAGAAATAAATTGCAAAAATGAGATACAGATAGTCACATATTGTAGACCCCCACATTATGGAACCTACAAATATGTGAGTGGTTGTGTCTCATTTTATAATTCATTTATGTGTTAGTAGTAGTACTCCTTAAAATTAATTTAGGGTCTCCATAACTTTCCAAAGTCAACAACAATAAAAAAATAAAAATATTTTGAGTAATCAGAAGCACAAATAATCTAAGGTCCCTCTCAATAATTATGTAAGTGAAAAAGAAATAAAAGATTAATTACAAGTGAAACAGCAACTTATCCCTATAGTCACACAGTGTTTGGTACAACAAAATAAGGTTGGTTTGTTGCCCAGATTTGTTGTTACATTACAGTGCATTCACTTAGGTCAAGCCTCATGGAAAAACCATGTATCAGCAGGTCATGGAAGTATTTCCCTCACCACTGGTTGATTTTTTATACTGGATTTCATTGACTTTTACTATTTTTCTCCAATTATTTAACTTGCAATCTCCTACAAATATCTGTTTTTTTTAATCAAATTATAAACATTAACATCTTCCCATGTTTTTAAATATCAGCCTATATCAATTATTTTGCTTCTTGATATACTAGTAAGAATAAAAAAATAACTTGCATATCAGCTGGCTCGCAGTTCATAATTGATTCACGAATCGGTTTACAGCCAATACGGTCGATTCGGTTGCTATAAATCTCTTTTTTGCGAATAATGTTTTTCAAAATTTTATGATACTTTCTTAATACTTCTGCACTGTTACATGGTGATATCAATTTGTCTCCCAATACCGTTATTTAAAACTTTGCACCTTCCACAATGGAACCTTTGCAGATCATATACATACCTCAGTCCTCAATGATCTCTTAGACCCTCGTTAAATGGCTGCTGTGACATCCCAAGAAGCCTTCTCTTCCACTTCTTCATCTGCTTACCACATTTTCTTGAGCTTCAGAGGTAAAGACACAAGGAAGACTTTCACTGACCACCTCTACACAGCTTTGGTGCATGCCGGTTTTCGCACATTCAGAGATGATGACGAGATCGCAAGAGGCGAAAATATTAATTCAGAACTGCAAAAGGCAATCATGCAGTCAAAGATTTCAATAGTCGTCTTCTCCAAAAACTACGCGTCTTCCAGATGGTGCCTTGACGAACTTGTGACAATCTTTGAACGTAAAAGGACTTCTAAACATGGAGTTTTACCTGTCTTCTATGACGTGGATCCATCCCAAGTAAGGAAACAAACGGGAAGTTTTGCTGAAGCATTTGAAAGGCATGAACGGAGGCTGAAGACGGAAGGCGGTGGAGGAAACAAGGACCGGGTGGAGAAGGTGAGAAGATGGAGGCAAGCACTCAGAGAAGCTGCAGACTTGGGAGGGATGGTTTTGGGAAATCAAGCTGATGGGTATGTAACTTCCACTCCTCCATGTTCTTGATTCTCCGAATTGGATCTTAGATTTGAGCATGAAAATTCTAAAATTTTTAAATGGCTTCAACTCAATTAAGATTCAAATCCAATCAAGGTTGGACGAAGGATTTTAACTTTAAGGGGCGAATGTTGCAAAGGGGATGAGTATTTAAAAATAATAATAATTTTAAGTCAAACCTATATAAAAAATTGGAGGGATGTTTATCTCCAACTGTCCACTTTTTTTTTATCAGCGAAGTCAATTGTTAGTTATTAGATTAACTCCTAAGGGAGTTGAACCCCCAATCTCTCCCTTGCAAGAACCTTAGTGTACCTCCATACCAGTAGGTCATGGGCCGTCTAACTGTCCCTTTAGCTCCTTTACTGAATCAAATTTAAAAAATGTACATAAATATAGAAAAAAATCCCAAACACAACAAACTATACTACCATGTTTGAATTTAGAATTCTGGGGAATGGATCTTTTCAAATTAATTACAAGCCAATTTTTTGCGTTTTTTGCATTAAGAGACGGAATCCAAATTAGCCACAACATTTTGCATAAAACATCTATATAATTTTATATGATTTTCTTATATTCAAATTAAAACTTGGGTTAGTGCATTAGTTATTGATTCTGAATGCTAGTCTAAGACAAATCCGTGTGAATTCTACTTTCCATCATGCATTCTGAAAGTGCTTCTGGGAAGTAATTTATTTGTGTGAGAATATGTAACTTATTTCAAGTCATCACTTGTGACATTTATTTTTGGCTGCATTTACCATTTTGAATACAACTTTTAGGCATGAGTCAAAATTCATCCAGAAAATTGTGTCCGTGATTGAAGATAAGCTACACCGTACAGCCCTACGTGTTGCACCCTTCTTAGTTGGAATTTATCATCGAGTGAAAAATATCAACATGTGGTTAAGAGATGGCTCTACCTATGTTTGCATGGTCGCAATTTCTGGGATGGGCGGCATAGGAAAGACGACTATTGCCAAATTTGTCTACAATTTAAACTTTAAAAGATTTGAAGGTAGTAGTTTTCTGGCAAATATCAGAGAAGTTTCTGAACAACCCAATGGCTTAGTTCGTTTACAAAGACAACTTCTTTCTGATATTCTAAATGGTAGAAAGGAAAAAATATTCAATGTTGATGAAGGAATTGTTAAGATCAAAGATGCCATATCCTGTAAAAAAGTTCTTCTTGTTCTTGATGATGTGGATCGAGTGGATCAATTAGATGCAATACTTGGAATGCAAGACTGGTTTTGTTCAGGAAGCAAAATCATCATTACAACTAGGAACGAGGATTTGTTGAAGGCACATGAAGTCTATAAGGTGCATAAAATTGAAAAACTAGATGCCGATGAATCTCTTAAGCTCTTTAGTTGGCATGCTTTTGGACAAGACCACCCCTTTGAAGGTTTCATAGAGCATTCAAGAAGGGTAGAACGTCATTGTGGGGGGCTTCCGTTAGCTCTTCAAGTTTTGGGTTCTTCTCTTTCTGGGAAAAGTATCCATGTATGGGAAAGTGCATTAAAGAAGTTGGAAGTAATTCCTGATGATCAAATCCTTAGAAAACTTAAAATAAGCTTTGACTCTTTACAAGATGACCATGACCAAGATTTGTTCCTCCATATTGCTTGTTTCTTTGTTGGGAAAGATAAAGATTGCACGGTTAAAATACTTGATGGATGTGATTTCTACACAACGGTTGGGATTCAAAATCTCATTGATAGATGTCTCTTAACAATTGATGACTATAACAAGATAAATATGCATCAATTGCTCCGAGACATGGGAAGAGAAATTGTTCGCCAAGAGTCACCTAAGGAGCCCGGGAAACGTAGCAGATTGTGGCATCACAAGGATTCCTTTACCATTTTGAGAGAGAAAACTGTAAGAAACATATTTCTCATGTTTATTTGTTTATTTTGGTGCATAAGTGTTTGTCACTTGAAATAACTTGTGTTTCTCTCTTCTTCGCATATTAGGGCTCAGAAACAATTGAAGGCCTTGCGCTTGACTTGCATGCATTTAAGGCGGCTAAATCTGTAGGGACAAGTTTCAGTCAAAATAATACAAAAGCACAACGCTTCCAAGAACATGACAAATCATCACTGGAGGACCAAGGAAATTCACTTCAACAATATCATTTTGGCTTCCCTTTCTTGCACCGGATAGACACTGCTTTACAAAATTCAAACAAGATAGTCCTGGAAATTAGTGCATTTGTAAGGATGCACAAACTAAGACTCCTCCAGCTTAGTTATGTACAACTCTCTGGAAGTTACAAAGAATTTCCTAAAACACTAAAATGGTTGTGTTGGAGTGGGTTCCCTTTAGAATCTATACCAATTGATTTTCCGGTGGAGAGCCTGGTTTCTCTTGACATGCGTTATAGCAACATGAAACATGTTTGGAATGGAACCAAGGTATGGTGCATTTTTTCACTTTCCTTCTTTTGTCAATTGACGATTGACTATATACATGTCTAATGTAAGAACTAAATTTTCACCTTTCCCCTTTTTCTTTTTACAGTTTCTTGGATTATTAAAAATTCTCAATCTCAGTCATTCTCACAATCTTGCCAAAACTCCTGATTTCTCAATACTCCCTAATCTGGAGAGATTGATTCTTAAAGATTGTATAAGCTTAGTTGAGGTTCATGAATCCATTGGGAACTTAGAGAGAATTGTTTTCTTAAATCTAAAAGATTGCAAAAATCTTAGGAATCTTCCACAGAGCATTATTAAGCTAAAATCTCTTGAGATGCTCATTATTTCTGGTTGCTCAAAACTTAAAGAGTTGCCAACAGAGTTGAGGAAATTAGAATCTTTGAAAGTATTTGCTGCCGATGGAATCACAATAAATCAACTTCTTGCTACCACTAGGGAGCTCAAATCATGGCAAGCATCTCTTTGGTCTTTGGTATCAATGCCAAGGAAAAGTCAAGAAATTTCATGGGCTTCTTTACCCCACTCTTTGGTGAGCTTAAGCCTAGCGGACTGCAATCTATCTGATGATATCTTTCCCAGAGACTTTAGTGACTTGTCCTTGTTGAAGAACCTAAATCTCAGCAAAAATCCAATTCATAGGCTGCCAGATTGCATCAGAGGTCTTACTGGTCTCCAAACGCTTCAGTTAGAATCCTGTACAAGACTCAAATGGCTTGTAGGGCTACCAAGTGTAAAAAAGTTGATTGTTTCAGAATGTACATCATTGGAAAAAATAACATTTCAATCCTTGTTACCAAATTTCGAAGTTGCATTAAGTCAGTGCTACAATTTAGTTGAGTTTCAATCCTCCTTTAAGATAGAACCAATTGAAGAAGTCGATAGGGAAATGATCAACATTTTGGGCTTCCCTGACTTGGCATCCATGGAAAACATTGAGATGGACTTTGCAAATGGAACATTAGGACTATTCCACACGAAGACCTGCCCCATCCAGGTACTCTCTCTCTCTCTCTCTCTCTCTCTCTCTCTCATGACCGCCTTCCCATGTAGCTCTGATGTGCAACAGTTGAATGTTATGGTTTCCATGGCACAGGCACTGCATGAATATGGTTTATTCAACACATTTTTTCCTGGAAATGAGGTTCCAAGCTGGTTCAACCATAGAAATATGGGATCCTCAGTATCTTTCGCTGTGCCTTCACTTCCTAATCTCAAGGTTCGAGGCCTGAATGTCTGCACTGTGTATGCATTTTCTGATGACGAGAGAGATAAATTACCTCATCCATTATTTGCTAAAATCGTAAACAAGAGCAAGGGTTTGAAGTGGATTTACGGCCCATCATGCTTAGGGGTTCCACAAGAAGACAATGGACATATGATATGGTTAAGTCATTGGAAACTTGGGAATCAGTTGGATGGTGGTGATGAAGTGAGTGTCTCAATATTCATGGATGTTGGTTTTGAGGTGACGGAGTGTGGTATCAACCTTGTGTACGAGCAAGAGGAGAGAGTGGGTACTCAAGAAAACACCTCCAATCCTTCTTGCCAAGTCGATATTGATGGAGATTTATCGAAATATGAGGTGATGACAGGAACATATTTCCTATGTGGAGTAATCGAGGAGGTCTATGACTGGAGTAGCTTGGACTGGTTTGAAAAATTAATCAAAGACTCTGACGAAACTACAGGTATGTAAAATGTGGCTTACTGTTGTCACTGTTGAGTGTCCGATTCTATTACCAGTTTCTATGTTGTTAACATTAATCCACAAATTGTTTTGGTTATTTTCAGGGTTAGTCGAAAATGAAGAAAATGGTAGTGCCGGTCTGCTAACAGTGGCAGTTGGAGGGATTGGCAACAACGATGGTGGTGGCCATTCTAGAGGCCAGAAGGTGCGTGTTCTTGTTGGGATGTTCCTTTTCTCTCTTTCATCTCTTGTTCTTCTCTCTCTAAGAATGAAGCGACAGGCGACGAAGGATAAAAATAAAACTAGAGATGACTAAAGCTTAGATTGCAAAGACATTGAAGAAAAAAAAACGGAGATTTTGGGATGATGAGTCAATCTAGATCAAAGAGATACAAGGTTTTGCTTCAGGATGAGCTTGACTAGTCTTAGCTTTGAAGTTTTCAGATCACAAACTCTAGCTCTTCCTTCCACTAAAAAACTGTATATTATTGTTGGTGTTGAACAAACACTATATTGGTTTAGTGACCCATGCCGCTCATATTTGTTATCAAGACAGTGATGATACATTACCAAAACATAACAAAAAGTTGTTTACTAATCTATAAGGATGAATCCAATAATCTATATTGGATTAACAATCTATATCACTCGTGTCTGTGATCAATGCAGTGGTTATGTTGAGTTGGAACATAGCAAATTTCATAAAATGTGTAAATTTTACTACATACAAAAGCGTTTGTACAATGGAAGATAGTAAACTCAAATACAAAAACTCACACAACCTTCACAAAATATCACTCTTACACTCAAGAGTTTGAGATTGCTTCACACTAGTTCAGTCTTGCATATCACTCTTGTATTGCATGATACCCAATAAAACGAATATAAAGTTGAACCCAATTCGAAATATAAATTGTGAAAAAAAAAAAAAAATTGTGGGAAAAAAAAACTATTAAATTGATCACAAGAATACCAGTTATACTACGGATAACATTTGAAAATGAGTAATTTGGATTGATCGAACTTTTGATTGATCTCAACCACATATTAACTTAGAGATGTTTTGGGAAGATGATTAAAAGTTATTTTTTGACTTTTTTTGACTTTTTTGTGAGGGAAGGAAGTGGGTTAAAAGCTGAGAAGTGACTTTTAACCGACTTTCCAAAATAACCCTTAGCTTTAGTGGTTGGTAAATGGTGAAATTTGAGTGGGCAAAATAAATGATAAGGATTTTACTATTGGAGATATGAAATGTTAAAAAAATCAAAGAGTGAATTCTAAAAACACAGAATATTCTAAAGAGTTAATAGAAAATCTTAATAGGTGACACGTTACATGATATAAAAATATGATCGTCATACTATTATTGTTTAGAAAATATTTCAGAGAGTGAGAAATTTAACAAATGACATATCATCTCTTATATGATAAATAAATATTTTGTAATTTTTATATTTTGCCTTTGGTATCATTTGATTTTCACTAATAGCAATCAGGAATAGACAAAGTTGGGTAGGTAATAAGTTACAAGTCAAATGTTGACTACCCCAGATACATTGATCCATGGTATAGCCAATTTTCTAGAAGTTTAGATTGCAAAGATTCTCTCAGAGTCTTTTATTAATGTTTCATCTTATTGACTATCGGATTACCCATAAAATAAAATTAAAATTAAAAAGGAAAAAGAAAGACTCTGATTAGCTCAGTGCATGTATTGTGTGTAATATTCTGCAAGTGGTATAAAAAAAATTAAACAAATCAGAACATTCAAATTCAATGCCCTTTTTGGTTTATATTGAAAATCACATACTTATTTCTCATTGATTAGACGAAGAGAAACTTACACAGATATTTATACTATGAGATATAGTAACCGTGACTAACTAACTCACTAACCAGCTAACAAACTCTACAACTAATTTTGTTATAACCACATGATTCTCTAACTAGACATGCTTGTGATGCACATGGCATGACAGGCATATCTGGAGTATGGAATTGGTGTGCTTGGTGATGATGTTGTGACTATGACTCAACCTCTGCAAGCTGTGACTTGGATGCTTGACCTTGTTCTGATAAATCTGATAGCTTATCAAATCCACTAGATAATGTATGTTTAATTAGTGTTCACTGTTACTGGGTCTGAAGTTTCATGATTAATATGCAAGCTTTATTAACAAAAGAAAATGATTCACAAATAAAAAAAATTATACAAAATTTTATATTAGAATAATATGGTAATGACAATCTTAAAAGTACTTTGAAAATAGTAAAAAAGTTATTTTTTCTTATTTATTTAAATTCAAAACGTTTCAAAAAATTGGTGGAAAATGCTGTGTTTTTCAAAAAAAAATTATACAAAGATTTAATGGTTCAGTTATGATTTTAAATTTTTTAAACCATAGGAACAGATTCAATTTTTAATTTATTCTATAACCGGATCAATTCGATCTATGAACGCCTCTAGTCGATTCTGGCATTGAGATTTTCTCTTATTTTAACTGGGGCAATTGCAAATCAGCTGAAAGATGTAATAATAATTACAAAAACTAACTTGTCATTATTTGCACCAAAAATACAAAGTGACTTGCAAATCTCATATTTTTGCAATTGCTTTCAACCCTTTTTTTCCCCTAATTTATTTATAATTTCCCATAACTTTTCCAGGCTTTCCCTCCTTTAAAGTTGTTCTCTTTTGTGCTCTTTTCTTCTTCTTTTCTCTTTCATCATTTCATCTCTTTCTTCTCTTTCTATCCACTCTCTATTTATATTTTTTTTTATCTGAAAATAGATACACCAGCACATAATTGTTAGAATCTTGGAGGAATTGCTCAACACTCAAATACTGGAACTGTAGGGGATTGTTCATTTGTTTGTTCTTTTGGAGTTGACCCTTCTTGACTTGGTATATTAATTGCTTTTCTTTCTCTACCTTGATATGAGCTTTAATTTTTGTTGGGATTTAGTTTAGTTTACTCTCTCTGTTGATGTGTTGCTATAATAATTTTCGGATAAAATCTTTTCAAGGCTATGATTTACTAATACGTGTTTATATATACTGTTCAATCATGCTCCATAGGCTACAGGAAAACCAGTCTTCATATAAAGAGTGAGTGTAATATTGATAAATCCAAATCCAGTAACTTGCTCTCTTTTGTTATCTCATAATTGGAGAGTAAAGCAATTATGCAGTTCTTTTTTCTTTTATTTATTTATTTTTAATTTCAAATTAGTTGGATTATGAATCAATGGCGTCGAGTTAAGTTGAGTTCTTATTTGCCACAAGCTAAATTCAGAAAATTACACTCTGTTGGGATAGAGTGATTTGGTGAGAAATAATGGGGGGAGGGGGGAACTCTTTTTTTTATGTTTGGTTTATAAGTTAGATGGCAAAACATGAGAAATGGCGAGAAAGAGAACTCTCTTATTTTATAGTGAGAAAGAGTACTTAGAAGTTTCATTTCTCACTAAAAGTGGTGCAATTTGGTGAGAAACAAGTTGATTGGTTATAAGCTGATTAGGCTCTCAAAGTGATGTTTTGGAGATTTTAACCATGTATTGAATGAAAGAGTTTGCATGGGTTTTGGGTGTTAGAGTTTAGTCTTCATTGGGAGTTTTGTTATTGTTCGTTGGTTTCTTGCCAACCAAATGTGTTTGTCGCATCAAATTGGATTTAAGCGATTTGGCTTCCCCAAATTGATGCCTATTCATGCTTTCCTTTCCTTCTTGTAATGTTTTATTTATTTAATAAAATATTACTTCTTTTGCCAATAAAAAATAATAATAAAAATACATAGAGAGAGAGAGAGAGAGCGCGCAAAATATCACCCATATACCTATATCACATACTTTGTTTTCTTCTCCATCCAAACACGCTCGTGAAACACAATCATTTCATTTCTTTTCTTTTCTGCCATCCAAACGGATGAGCTTTAAAAGTGAAGGCCAAATTTAGCTCATTTATCACACAAGCAAGTTAAAGCAAAAGATACTGACCAGATGAATTTCTATCTCTTGGCCTTTATTCAACCTTTGGGATAAAACTCCCAACTTCCCTACTCTGGATACTTGTGGCTTCACCTTCTAGGAGTAGGCTAGATTCTGTTCAAATGGCCACACACACACACACACACACACACACACACAAAAGAGGTTGGAATTGGAAAAAGTTAGGTCAGCTTCTGCGTGCTTGGTTCCCATATCCAATGATTCATAGTTCGTTGTTGATAGTTAAGATGAAGTGGTAATTAGTTAACACCAAAACAAGAGTGTTCCAAAGAACAAAAGGAATTGTTCTTTTTTAATGTCTTTTTTTTCACATACTGCTCCCTCAAGTAAAATTCTTGAAATCATCTGTTATCTTACATTTCTTTGTAGCCTTTGGTTTCTATTTGGAACTTCATTGACTTTTCTTAATCCAAATTTGTAATACTAATGAGTTTTTTTTATCCAATTTTATGATATACATCCAATGGTGCCTTTGCATACTGAATTATTCAGGTTCTTCATCCATATAATATAGCGAGTTTTGTTCCAAGACTGCTATGAAAGTCCAAAGAGCCTCCTCATCAATGCTTTGGTTTTCTTATCACGTTTTCTTAAGCTTCAGGGGTGAAGATCCCCGCAGGTCATTCACTGATCACCTTTACACAACTTTAGTTCATGCAGGAATTCACACGTTTAGAGATGATGACGAACTTGAGAGATAAGAGGATATTGAATCAAACCTAAATAAGGCAATCCAAGAATCGAGAATTTCAATAGTTGTCTTGTCAAAAGACTATGCATCTTTTAAGTGGTGCCTTAATGAACTTGTGAAGATACTTGAACGCAAGAGAACTGTCAATCATATAATACTTCCCGTGTTCTACCATGTGGATCCATCCCATGTCAAAAAGCAAACAGAGAGCTTTGCAGAAGCATTTGAAAAACACATGGAGGGATTTGAGGCAAAGACCGATGATAGAAAACAAGAGAGGCTTACAAAGATAAAGACATGGAGGGAAGCTCTGAGAAAAGTTGCTGACTTGACAGGAATGATCTTAGAAGATGGGTACACAATTTTCTCTAACTTATTGGTTAGGCGCCATCCTGATCAAGCACGCAAACATCATTCAACAAATTTATTCAATTATCTACAATCAAGAGTTCCAACACAACCTTTATGGAAAGTTGTATGCATAGGCCATATGATAATGTCTATTTGAAGAGAGACTAGATATTGAAAATATCTTTTTCTAAGATTTGAAATTCTATGACTCAAAGAGTACTATAAATTTTGCATTAGATTAATAAACATAGCCAAGGCTCTCTCCTTTTTTTCTTCAAAAGTTCACATGCATTTTAATTTTTAC